TCTTAGACAGTTTATTAACATACGCACAACTGCAACTAGGGTAACAAGAGGTGCAGCGAGAGGAGATTGCAGTATTCCACTCAGAAAAAGTTCTTTCAGTCAGTGTTCATTTTCTGTTAAAGCTGCAAAGCAATGGAACTCAATCCCACCTCCAATCAGAGACCAGACCACATTCACTTTATTTAAATAAAAACTCAAAATATGGTTAGTGAGGAATCAGCTCTGCCAACACTGACCCAATCTTCTGCTCCTTACAACCCACTGCCTGTGTTTTAACATGTTCCTTTGTTTTGTTTGAATGTTCTGTATTTTAAATTGTTTTATTTAAGTATCCCAGTAATGTCTGTTTCATGTTTTAAATGTATTGTATTTACTTGTTTTAAATTAAATGTGTTTTAGGTTGACTTTTAAAATCTGTCCAGGGACTACAGATGAAAAATAACCTCTTGGCTAACTCTGGCACATTTACAGAAATGATTCCCTGGATCTAATAAAGTCGAAGAGTGGGGGGAGTATTTGGCCACTTGTGTAATACTATAGTGTTATTGTATGGTGACACATGGTTCAGATTTGTTCTTGACAAATGATAAAAGTGTTTCAGTTGCTCCGGCCTGTGCTGATGTTTTCGTGCCCATTCCAGTGTTGAAAAAGTTTTAACAGCCAGTCACCTCACAGGAAACACACACACACACACACACACACACACACACACACACACACACACACACACACACACACACACACACACACACACACACACTTCAGGGGACATTACATTGACTTACATGCATTTCCTGGAGACTTATCCTAACCTTAGCCATAACCAAGACATGCCTAACCCTAACCAAGTCTTCACCCTAAAATTAATGATTCCCCTCATGGGGACCTCCATTTTGTCCCCATAAGGGGGGCGAGTCCCCACACGTGGCACACGTACACGCACGCACGCACGCGTCTGGAGCTGCAGGCTGAACACACTGCATTTGTGCCTGACACTGGAGCTGACACAGGGTATATGCAGGAATCCTGAAGTCAAATTTAATACCTTTTAAGACCCTTTCCATACATTTTAAGACCGTGCGGACACCCTGTGACAACATTTAGATCAAATTAGGATACAGACACAAAACACTACGCTAGCTACAGCCCTTGTGTGCATTTAACACAAATACCAAGTGATCATTGTTGCTTAGTTTGTGTGTGCCAGAGTGGGCACACAGGGTTAAAGTGTGTGTGTGTGTGTGTGTGTGTGTGTGTGTGTGTGTGTGTGTGTGTGTGTGTGTGTGTGTGTGTGTGTGTGTGTGTGTGTGTGTGTGTGTGTGTGTGTGTATTCCAGACAGAGCTGTTCAATGCTAAAACAACACAGAGGCCTCAGAGCTGCGATGAACCAACACACACACACATTCAGAAAGTAGAAAGGTAAAAAGGAGGCAGTGAGAGGGTTGTGTAGTTGACCAAGCATCTTTATAAGGGACGTCAGCAAAGTGAACTTTAGTACTAAATATAGTCAGCTGCTGCGGGTGTGGAGTGGGTGCGGTGGTGAGGTCATAGTGTGGGTGAGGGTTGGGGTGGCAGGCAGAAGGAGGGGTGGGGGTGCGGCGTTTGGGACCTACAGCTTTCTGGAGTTGATCCCAGAAAGAGACATAATAGTACAAACAGTACATACTGTAAACATGTGTTTTTGGGACAAATGTTCTGTTCTTCACAAGAAATAAGTAAATACGAAGCTGTAAACCAATTGTTCTCTATTATTAAATAAAATATAAACTGGTTACCTGCAACTCTGTATAAACATTATTTTTTGTGGAGACCTAAACATAGAACTGAATTGAATAGATCAGTCTTATTGAGTCAGTATGGGAGCGCTGCATCCGGACTGCACAGCCACTGTAACAGTCCAGCTTTACAGAACGTCAACATCCCTGAAAGCAAATCCAATCCCAGGCATGACAGGAACGAAAGTCTTCTTAAGTGAAGCTCACCATGGCGATGAAGCGACCGATGAAGCGGAAGTACGTGAGGTGGTCGGGGTTGATGGAGGAGGCGGGGTTGATCTGCAGACAGTAGTTGTTCTTGCCGGCGTATTCAAACAGACAGTACATGGGGTTCAGCACCTCGTGGGACAGCAGGAAGAACCACTCCCTGCAGAGACACCAGAGGACAGGTCAGACCTCAGAGGGCAACATGTCAGGAAGTAATGCACACATTTGATAATTTTCCTTTTAATATATAAGGGCATACTTTACTGTTTAAAATGATGAAGTGTGACAGTTCATCTTCTTCAAAGATGCATTAAAGTTTCATCACTATGAGCTGAGACCCAATTCAAAGTGAATTTTTGAACAAGAAACAACAACAGAAATAAATGTGACAAACAGATGATGGAGACAGACATCTGACAAAACATTTAAACCAAAGACAGAACATAATCCACAAAGACAGTTTAGAGATATTAACAAACAACTTCACTCACAATCTAACTCAGTAACTCTAACTGATCCAAACATTTGTAAGTAATTATAATAAAAAAATAAATAAAGATAATTGTAGCTGCTGAGATCTGACTGTCAGCTTCTCCTTGATATTACCAGCTATTTCCCAGCTTAAGAAGCCTTACATTTTGCCTTCATTATTACCAGGTTGCTTTGACATAATATTACAGGAGGAGTTGACTGAATTCATTCATTAAGTCCACTCATGTTTGAACATCACACAAGATTTCTTTCAGCATTGCCATCACTTAATATGGTATTTTAAATGAACCATGCTTTTATGTGATGAGCTGGTGCCAGTAAAGTGTCAAAACTTATCTCATACCGAGTAAAATAGTTCTTCATTTGTAAAATTATTTTATTTTATATTTTCATATTCAATATTAAGCATTTACACATATTCAATAAAGCTAGTTTTGATGTGACTTCCCAAGAAAGATTCCAAATCCTGTAATAACAAATCCTGAATTACATTTGGTACATTTGGTTCTTGAACTTGAGTTTTGGTTGATTTGAACAAACCATATGTAATGTTAATGAATAGGATCCAGACTTTATTTATGAGTATAAAAGGTACTACTTCCATGAAGAATCAGGACACACAGAGTGGATCCTAATGTGGAACCCTTTGGAAAAAGAATAAGCGTAAAGTAAATAAGCAAAATGTAGAATTATAACTCAAAGTAGTATAAAGCTGTTTCCTAATCTAGAGGTTTTTTATTTTAGTCTTGTTTGGAACAGCTATCAAGAAATTATATTTCTTTTCTTTTCTTTGGATCGTGGCATTTATTTGAATACAAACCACATTTGCACACATCCTATCCTCATTAACTCCGAGACAAACACACAACATGAAGGATAAATACAGAGTAAAACAGACACAATGAGACAGTGGAGTACTGCATGTTAGACAGAATGAAGCAGCAGCACCACCACCAGCTGCAGCACCACAACCAAACGCTCCCAACGCCCCGGCCTCCCCTGGGGGGTTATGGGAGGGGGATATGGACGGACGGACGCAGACACCTCGCAACATCCCGTCCGTGGTTCTACCCTGTGGTAGAACAGCATGATGTCACCTACCATAGGGTAAAACCACTGGCGTGACACTGGAGACAGAGACACAATGCAAAACCAAACAGAAAAAATGAGGAAAAACACCGACAGAAAAATTAACAACATACACAGAGAGGAGGTACATCTGGCACAGCAGGGGGGGGGGTACATGGGATGGGTGGGTAAAGGAAGGAGGACAGAGATGTTGCAAGAGTGTGGAGGATTTCAATCCAACACACAGAAATGCCTGACACCATTCAGGTGAAGAGTTGTGTATCAATTGGACAACAGTACGTTTTAAAAGCAGAAATCTCAACACCACGTAATGCCCGACGCCTCTTTAAGAGTTTCCTGTCTGAAAGTGAGGTGCAGTGTAGGAGGAAGCTGGAGCAGAGATGAAGAGTGATGAAAGAGCAGGAGAAACACACCCTCACCTTCACAAAAACAAAAGGGTTCAATCACAAGCTGTAGCACCTCACACCACTTCATAGGGGAGGAAGAAGGTGCGTTTGTTTTGTGGTGGCTCTCACCTGGCGATGCCCCCGTAGTCCAGCCCCTCCTCTCCTCTCATGATGATGTAGAGTCTACGGCGAAGGTCGTATGGCTTCACATTCATTATCTAATGACAGAACAACATCTATCATTAACAAACACACAACACGTTTTAACAGGCAACATTTGAGGACATTAATTAAACACATTTCAATGTGTTGGGTTGGTCTCTGACCTGCTGAAAGGAGTCCTCAAACAGAGTCTGTCTGGACACTGAGATCTTCACATGGCTGGGCAAGGCATTGGACTGGAGAGAGAAAAAAAATAACTCCATATCATTTGTGAAACAGTTCTCAGTCAGTAAGACCTTATGACACATTTGAAGACATTAACAGCTGCTAGTTAACTTAACCCCCATCTCTAACTTTAACTTTATTACATTTTTACCATTACATCTTTGCTAACAACACCCTTACTATACTGAACAGGGGCGAGTACTTCAAGCGGGTATATTCAGTACATACTGGCTTTTATATAGCAGATGGTAAATATATGCAGCTCAATATTATTAGATACATATCAAATTGATGCTGCTTTTCCCCTCTATGGTATCTAGCCAGGCAGATGTAGTTCTATTTGTTCAGCACTGAGTTTTCTGCCTCCAGCCAACACAATGGAGGTGAATGGAGGTTTGTTTATGGCACACAGAGCATTGAAAAATGATATGTTTTTGGACCGATAAAAACTCCACATATAATGTGTTTTGTGTATTATAATAAGGGTTCATAACAGTGTTTCAAAAAGGGATACACAACGACTTCCATTCACTTCCACTTTATGGAGGGGAGGAGAAAATCTTAAAATTGATAAAACTAAATCTGGTGAAAATACAGACAAAACTATCTTCATGGCTAGATACCACTCTATTTAAGGGTGAACATTTTCTTAATTAAAAAATAACATTTAAACAATTTAAATGTTATTTTAATTTAAAACGCAGTGATACACACAACACAGAGATAAAGGAGAGGTGCAGGCAGAGTCTAGTTGTGGCGTCAGACTCCATTTCACACTTACATGGCACAGGAAGCGGAACTGGTGGTACTTCCACCTGAAGCTGCGGTCGTAAGCTCCCGGTGAGCCGCCCTGCCGTGACCTGCACACACACAAGGAGAGAAGGAAGAGAGTTATTTGGTCAATTCTAAACTGCTCGAGCAAATTCCCTTCGGGAATCATGATTCAAAACGACAGTGTTGATAAAGTGACTCAAATCATCATGTTTCTGATTATCAGAAACATGGAACTGTCCTTTAAGAAGGCCTCATGTCCCGTGTTGCTGGTCAGTGCCTATTCTGTTCTCACACTCGCGGTGTCTGAGTCTCAAAGACAGCGTGAGTCTGGGCCTGCAGATGTGTTAGTATAAGCTCAACACACTGCACACACACACAGGATATGTGCTGAGTCAGCAGCGAGGCTGAGACGCAGGGAGAGAAAGATAATGGGAGGATGGGAAGAGAGAGTGAAATGATGGGAGAGAAGAAGACGGCGGCCTGTAATGTGTCTGGTTTATTCTGGCCTAGCTTCCAGGCTCTTCCCGGTCTGTTGAGGAAATGGAGACCGCAGCGGCACACACACTGCTGCAGTAGAAAACACTCAGGAGCCCTGCATGACCACCGTGCTAAAAATATGTTCGAATATCAGCAGGAAAACGGCTTCTAGCACACACACACACAAACTCCACAAGCTAATACACACTTGAGTGCCAAAAGAACAGACAGACAGACAGACAGACAGACAGACAGACAGACAGACACACACACACACACACACAGACCGACAGACAGACACAGACACACACGCACAGACAGACACACACACACACAGATAGACACACACACAGACACACGTCTGCTGTGGATCAGTTGATGCACATCTGCACATTCTCCTGACTTTGCGGTGGGATTCGAGACTTCTTCAAGCTAGGCAAACATCCACAGGCTGAGGGGGGGAAGAGGTGTGTGTGTGTGTGTGTGTGTGTGTGTGTGTGTGTGTGTGTGTGTGTGTGTGTGTGTGTGTGTGTGTGTGTGTGTGTGTGTGTGTGTGTGTGTGTGTGTGTGAGTGTGTGTGTGTGTGTGAGAGAGAGAGAGAGCTACTAGCATGAACATGTTGAAGATATGACTTCATGTTAAAATACCTGTGAGGGTTACATTTATTCTGTCTGACTCAAATGTATATTGAAAAATAGAAATGAAAGACAATGGATTAAACACGGGCTCAATAAAAAGGCAGGTCAAATCAAAAGATGATGTGGTTTAGATTAAGACAGTTTTGACCTTTTTCTAGGTTTCTAGATCAATATTGGCATTGCAGTTATGTTCGACTAAGGCAAATCATTGTGCAATTATAAAACTGACTGGCTAACATTTTTTTATTAGTTCTTATTGATTCAAGAACTGAAGGATAATTTGATTTCGAAAAAAGCAGCTTTGGAAGAAGGAAGTAGGGCTGAGAGAATATTTACCCTGACTCAAACCCGGGTCGGGGGTCTTTAAAGCTGGTGTTGCGCGAGTTGTGGTCCACAAAATATCTGACTCCCTCGGCGGTGTACTTCATCTCCCAGCCCGGGGGCAGGGGGTGCTCCTTGATCATCCTGCAACAGGGAGAGGGCAGTGAGCACGGTCCCAGCCACAGGGCCCCGTCCTGGGGATGAAACTAACACCCCTCCCCTCCAACCTGTGGATCTACAGCCCTGGAACTAAATCACAGCCGTGCCAGGGGGGAGATATTCTCCTCTGAGGGAAGTTTGACTGATTCAGGCGGCTTCTAAACTCTGGAGATGAACTCAGAATAAAGTCCAGAGAGGCCCATATTAAATGTTATCCTATTATAAACACAAGAGTGTGTGGCCAATAATTCCTGTTCCACCCTAGCTGCACTTTTTGCCTCTAATGAATTACATTTCACAGAGCTAACCAGATACCCAGTGATACTTATTAAATCAGTTCTGAGGATATACAAATACGTCCAATTAGAAGAAATTCAGGCTGCATATTAAAATAAATAATAATATTTTTTGACCAGATTAAAAAGGTATTACTTTTTATCAAATGTTTTAGCAGGTTAGAATTTGTATTTTTTTCCCGTCTTTTAATGACTGATGATTTTTGATGTAATGAATTGTCTGTTTACAATGCATTTCTGTTGAACTAAATGTTACTTGTTTTGTTTGTGTAAAGCACTTGTATTGCCATGCGTTGAAATGTGCTATTTTGTAAACAGGCCTTGCCTACAGATGGTAAGTACAGTTTGGGTATTCTGTAAATCCCTTCAGAGCAGCAGTAAATGGGTTTGTGAGTGACTGCTTAGTGCAATGTAACGAATGAGAGGCACAAACAGAGGCCACTAACAGCTTTTACAGAAACACTTCTACAGAAGAAGATGCCCTGAGGAAGATGTGTGAAATGTACTAACCAAGAAGTTAAAGGATCAATCAGAATGAGTGAGGTGAGGGAAAGCATTCAGCTCAGGCAGCGTTTAAACGTAAAGGAAGTAGAGTGTGATGCCAGGAAAATGATCAAATTGTAGGATAAGAGCTTAAAAAGTTTCCAAATCTTTCTAATTTTCTTTTAATGCTTTGAACAGTGCATCATTAATTATAAAGTTTGTCACGCTCAAGTCCTTATTTTTATTTTTATTTGAATGAACTGCTCCAGAGATTGTCAAATTCTTTCAATTATTTCCAAGTCAGAAACACCTCATAATGTAAAGGATCCCTCTGTCATCATACTGCCTGTGTATGATACATTTATATTTGTTTCAGTACGAGCAAACACCAGAAGCAGCGCACCCTCTAAAGCAGGCAAACACATGCAGACACACACACACATTAGTTATTTTTCTAATTCTCACCCTTGGGTCCGGGGGTCGTCCCACTGTGTGGTCCGTGTGTTGTGGTTGACAAAGTAAATTCTGCCATTGTCCTGACGCTTCTCTGTGGACACAAACAGAACATGCGGAAACAATTAGCGTAATGGGATTTGTGATCTTAGGAGGAAAAGTTGGAGGATAGTGAAAGAACTCGGGAGAATCTAAAAGATCAGCGTCTCTGTCAGCAACTACTCTGCTCACTTCCTTTTTCTGATTAAGAGAAACAAATATCTCACCACCCTGATGGAAAACCTGCAGGTCTGTGTGATATTTTGCCGAGACTTGATTTAAATACCTCACCGGGGTAAGTGTGTGTGTGTGTGTGTGTGTGTGTGTGTGTGTGTGTGTGTGTGTGTGTGTGTGTGTGTGTGTGTGTGTGTGTGTGTGTGTGTGTGTGTGTGTGTGTGTGTGTGTGTGTGTGTGTGTGTGTGGTAGGCCGCTGGTCTCATGAGAGCAGTTGGTGCCCCATCCTCCCCCTCCCCCCCTCACATCTTCTTCTCATTAACTGGAG